ATTTATTCAGATTTTTCAATTGGATCATATTATAAACTATTTTCTAAAAGCTAGTTTTTTGTTTGTTTTTAATTTATTTACAAAGAAATTATTTATTTATTTATTTATTTTTGAACATTTTATTTATGTATTCATACAGAACTGGAGTATAAGCCAGAGATGCTGAGGGTGAGAGGATTCACCAGAGACAGACCGGGGAGCAGAATAGGCAGATTGAGGAAGCACACTGCTGAGGGGAGCAGCAGGCGGGCCAGGAGAGGTCTGCCGCGCCATGTGGTCACCTTTGGGGCAGGCAGGGATCGAACTCATGCGGATGTGGCTTAAGTTTCTTAGTGCAGTGCTGTAACCACTGCAACACCAGGGAGGGCCATCTAAAAGCTAGTTTCAATTCAATACATTAAAAAGCACAATTGCAAAGTGGTGTAACTACTTTGGAAACAGGATGGAAGTTTCACAAAAACTTCAAAATATAACTACCATGGTATCCAGCAACTGCACGGATGAGCATCTATCCAAACTGATAGCAACAGGATCTCAAAGAGGTATCTGAGCACTCATGCTTGTGTGGCTGTAAGAAAAATACCACAGATTGGTGGTTAAAACAGCAAACGTTTCCCACAGTTCTGAAGACTGGGAAGTACAAGATCAATTCTAGCAGATTCTGTGCCTGACCAGGGCCAGCTTCCTCGGTCCTAAGTGGACGTGGAACACTGGTCATGGTCTTAAAAGTTCCTAATGATCCTTCACCTTGACAAAATTATGCCATTGCTCCAAGACACTTACTGTAGATGGGGCTGGAGATCAAATTATTCCTCCAATGTAAAGAAACCTTCAGAAAACTCAATTGTTTCCATTGAAATTTCAGTTTAAATAGTCATGTTTTTCTATAATTATATCTCAAGAGGGTAGAAAACTTAAAGCAGGATTTGACTGAAGAGATTTTTATTAAAACCCGGAGCTTGATTATTAGCAGAAATGGGGAAAAAAACCTCGTTGATTAAATATAATGTTTCAGAAGAATGATACGGAATTTCTTCCTTTCTATGTCTCTTAGCATACCACAGAGAAAGTTTCCTTTCTTTAAAATAAAAAAAAAAAAAGCAATTCCTCTTTATGAGAAGAGTGGATTGTTAAGCTCCATTTCTTTCTCCTATAATTCTAACTTCCTTTGATAGTTTTACAACTTTTTGTAAACACTCTAAGTATACAGAAAAATGGAGATAAGGAAGGTGAAAATGAAATGCTTGATGTTAGAGGATGATGCATAAACTCATCATAAATAGTATTCCATGTGAAATAAAAAGATCCCCCCCCAATGCCTTGCAAATACTAGAATTGTTCTAATATAGAATAATGTGTGTTTTCACTATTACCGAATGGCCTAATTAAAGAATAATTTGCATCGATGCCAAATACCAGATTCTGACAAATCAAGAAAGTACAGTTTGGACTACCTACTTTGATTGAAAGTTGTACCAAAGTAGTCTTGTAAATTATTTTAAGGAATTTCAAGACCAGGTTATACATTTTTTTTGTTTGTTTGTTTTCCTAATGCTGATTATATCTATCTAGCTATCTGTCTATCTATCTATCTAAATCTTACATTCTTTCATTGACAGGCATACACACCTCTAATTTATAAATCATGTTTCAGATACATAAACTGATGTTGTTATTAAAAAAAAAGTTGATAGGTCAGAAATAATATCAATGACAATTTTAATAGTGTCTGAATCTAAAATATGCTAATTTTGTTGCTTAAGAGAGAATAAATGCATATTCAACTGTCGATTTAGCCATGATAACTTAGAACCTAATTTTAAAAGAAAAATAAAGTACCTTTAACCATGAGACCCAAAAGCAAGTCACTTAAAAGAAAGAAAATTCCAAGAAATAGAAACGTATGTGCTATTGATTTGTGCAATCACTTTCAATCTTCTCTACTCTTTTACTTCAACCACTATTTGATCACTGGATCTGATCCTAGAAGAATATGTAGAGAAGTACTTGAACCAACTCTTTTTTTTTTAACATGCCTTGTCTCTCAGCATCTATGACTTAGAGACTGCAAAGTAGACTTTGAACAGTACATTCATATCAAGGGACTTACATGAAAGCGTTGGCTTTTTTTGTGGCTAAAAGGGCTTTCCTGTGTTCTCCTACCAGGGGAAAAAGGTCTGCTTTGGGAGCACTCCCCATGGCAAACCTTTTTGAGGAATGAATCCTGAAGTGCATTCGACCATGTCTTTGGGATCTCCAGCTAAAGCATTTAAAAGGGATAGTGGGTCATTGTCCTCTACTACCCTTTTGCCTTTGATGGGTGCTCTGAGCCAATCTGGAATTTTCATCTGCTTCCTATGGTACTTCCAAAGTATCTTCAGAAAAGCAACTGGGTAAAAGATTCCACATTTACTAAATAAAGAAAAATAACACCCTTTTCTGAACTAAATGTTTAGTTCAGACCCAAAAATTATAGGAAAAAGGATTCTTAAGTTTCAAAGGAATCTTTTGATGCTGATTATAAATGAAATTTGTAAATAAGCACTTTACTACTAATACATTTTTGAATAAAGTTTCTCAGTTAGGAATTTCAAGTGACGTGACTGAAAACCTAGCATCCATAGTAATATTGTCAAGTTTATGATGAAAGAAAGTAAAAAAAGAAGGGTGGGGCAAAGTTTGACATAAAATTGGTCCTCAGACATTACTCTTCAGCTTAAGCTCCATATGTTTGTCTGCCAGGCTGACTTTTCAGAGTGAAGGGCACTATAAGATATTAAAGGGGAAACTGAGACTCAATTTTTGTTTTTTGATTAAGGTCTTTCAAGAGGATCAAAAACAGTACATCTTCTACATGGATATATCTTCACTCAATTTAAGGATAAGTTTCAGTTAATATCACCACTGTCTAAAACACTGCTGTCTCTAACATACAAATCTGCTGAGATGCTATGCAATTAAATTTATCAAAGCACAGTCTTTGACTCAAATTCTAGCTCCAAATTCTAGTAGCACAGGGGATATGTCACAGCACCAGGAGGGTACCCACAGCCACTACAGCAAAAGGTGGATCCCCGGCCAGGGAGGTGGCACACATGGCATGGCAGACCTCTCCTTTCCTGTCTGCTGCTCCCCTTAGCAGTGTATTTCAGTGGATCTGCCTGTCCTGCTCCCCACTCTGTCTCTGGTGAATCCTCTCACTCCCTCATCTCTGGCCTGTACTCCAGTTCTTGTATGCATAAATAAAATTAAAAAAATCAGGCAATAAAGAACAAGTTCTAGTGGCACAACTAACTAGCCATGTGACATTAATTAAATTTCTGAGGTTTCATTTCACTACCCATAAGATCATGAAAAGCAATGCCATTTCAAGGATGGCTAAAGGAAGTAAATGTGAAGCTGTGAATAGGATGCCTAATGTAGTTACTAATCACTACAATGTCTAGTCAATAGTGTATTTTAAATTCCAGATGAGGAATATATATCTGACTTTAAAGTATTTGAGTTTACTTCTGAGCCCTCTGACCAGAGCTACTAAAATTAACTAGACTAGAATAAAGTTACAATGGATTGTTATCAAAATTATTAAAAGTATTTCTTGAGCAGGTGGCAGGTGCTATAATGGTACAGAAAGAGTCTACCATTGTCTTTAATCTAAAAAAGAAATTCAGTCACATGAAATCACTAGTGACTCATAAGTCTCAATGTGATCAAGTACTCAGTATGTTTAACTGTGTTAAAGGGGGAAGAGAGTGATCTCTGGACAGACATTCAGATGTCAGCGGAGAAACTATGAAAGGAGATGGCAATGATGATAGGTGGTGATGGACAGGGACATAATGTGCTCCATCTGTGTATGATGGAAAGGAATCTTGTGTTGAGGGCAGATTTAAAGCTAAACATAACTTATACTCCAAATGCACCTGTATGCAGATAACACTGGATATTGTTATTTGGCTCGTTTATGAAGCAACTGAATGTTGACCTTGCTTTTCCCAGATAGGGAGGATAAGTACCAGGTTCAAAACAATAAGGTCTGGAATTAGCACTCACAACCCCAGACCATATTTCTCTCTCTTTTTTTTTTTTTTTTGCTTTACTGTTCCTCACCATATTCTGAATTGTAGCTGACTGGAGAACAGCGTAGCCAGAATGCATTCTACAGTCAGAAGCTGTGCCTTAATATTTTATATAATCATTAAGCAAAACTGTCAACCCTATCCCATAAAAAAACAAGTTCAAGAATGTACAACAAGTATTTCACAGTCGTGTCTAAGAAATAAATATCATCATCCAGAATCGGAATAGTAATGTTTTGTGTCTATGTCCTCTGATAGTTATCAGATTCCTTAACATGAAAATCCCTAAGATGACAAAACACTGAGTTTTAGTGATGCAAGAAGGAAGAGGGGGGAGGGAGAGAGGGAGGAAAGGAGGGAGAGAGGGGGAAGGGGAAGGGAGGCAGAGGGGGGAGGGAGGGAGAGAAGAAGAAAAGGGGGGAGGGGGAGAAAGATGGAATTGTCTTCTCCAAAAGCAAGGGACAAAACTTGAGAAGAGAGGATCCGGCTCTTCCATGGAGGGGTCAAAATGAACTTGGACTGAAGGCTAAAACAAAAAACTGAACAGAGACCAGTGCCCCCAAACCAACCAGGTCTTGATCACACTGCGGAATATTTAACAACTCAAAGTCACAGTTGCTGTTCTAAAGTCAGAGTACACCTATAGCATGGGCTATTCCTCACACAGAGAAGCAACCCAGTTCTGGGCTGGAGACGCGCGCGCGCGCGCGCGTCCATGTGTGTGTAAAAACGTGTTCTTAGTTTAGGCTAGATCGCTTGCAGAACTTAGAACTGGGACAAATAAGCAGCCCCTTGGGGGCTGTCTGGGGCTGAGGACGGCCCTCCCCAGAGGGCATCCCCAGGGGCAAGGTCGCCCAGTGGGGAGGGAGGGCGGAGCCTGGCAGTGACTGATGGGAAGGGACGCAGGAATAAGAGTACTAGTCTTGGGACTGCGAGGACCCCAGCGCGCAGTGGAAGCCTCTCCGTCTGGCTCCCAGTTTCTGCAGAGCCGCCCGCCGGCAGCTCGAGGGGGCGTGCTCCCTCCCGCCGCTCAGCTGGCTGCTGGCAGCTTCCAGCCCACAGCGTCCCGTCCCGTCCCGGAGGAGGCTGCGGCCGTCGCCCTGCGCCTGCGACTCCCGATCCCTGAGGTAACCCTTCTGGCTTGCCATTGAGCTAAGGTCCCTTACTGAGCCTCCTTTGGCGGCCCCAGCTTGGATTCCTAGTGTGGGTTTGTAGGTTTGTTTTCAAATATAAAGCTAGAGAGCGAATTAAAACGAGGTCGGAGTAAATGAGGCTGGGGAGTGCGTGCGTGGGCGCTGCAGTCACTTAGGAGTCCGAGGCTTCTGCGCTGCCCAGATGGTTGCCCAAGTCCGGGTAGAGAAGCTGGAGGTTTCGCGAGTCAGCCCGCGCCCTCCTTGGGGGCGCCGGGGCCCCCAGAGCGCCGACTGCCGGGGCGCAGCGGCTTCACCGCCAGGAGTCGTCCTGGCGTGCGGACGCGGGTTGTGCTGATTCTCCGAGGAGCAAAAGGCAGATGTGCCACTCGCCTGGCGCAGCACCCTGATTCCCCAGTCCCGGGCACCCGCAGTCAGAAAGAACTGTGTCTCCTCTCCAGGCACTCTGATGCTCAGAGCTTGGCCTAGGACACCTGTTCTCCCCTCCTTGGCACGCCCTGCCCTTCCCAGAAAGTCCCCTCTCACTGCAAGTCTTTTGCCCCTCAGGCAGGCAAGGGAGAAAAGGCGGGCGGGGTGGGGAGCTGGGACTGCTCGGGGGCGCAAACACTGGAGTTCTTCTCTGGTGCGCAAACTAGTTACTTTACAGTGGCGGTAGGGTGGTGCTCTGGGCTAGCAGTCTGCAGGGGTGTGGCTGGAGTAGTTGAACCAAATGTCCCTTTTCCCCCACCCCCGCAGGTCTCCAGACTCTGAAAGGCACGGAGAAGCCACCTGACCTTGCTGGAGCAGGCAGCAGCATGCAGCCGCCGCCCACCCCCTACAGAAGCGCCCTGGTGGCCCTGACCCTCGCCTGCTGTTTGGTGGGGGTCCAGGGAGAAGAGCAGGGATCCGCACAGGCTAGAGCCACTCCACCACTCTTGGGGGTCGAAGAGATGCTGACGCCCCCCACGAAGATTTCCTGGGCTCCGAGCTCCAACAGCAGCCTGCCTGGGTCCTTAGCACCTCCCCAGATGCCTAAAGGAGAGAAGACAGGGGGAGTCGCGCCACGCACCCGCTCCCCTCCCCCATGCGAAGGTTCCATTGAGATCAGGGAGACTTTCAAGTACATCAACACAGTCGTGTCTTGCCTGGTGTTCGTGCTGGGGATCATCGGAAACTCCACACTGCTGAGAATTATTTACAAAAACAAGTGTATGAGAAATGGCCCTAATATCTTGATAGCCAGCTTGGCTCTGGGAGACCTGCTGCACATCGTCATTGACATCCCCATCAATGTCTACAAGGTAAAGGGTGTCTAGTACTAAAAATACGGGAAGGGTGCTGGGTTAGCAAGGGTGGGAGTGGAGAGACTTTGGAAGGAACTTACTCAAGAAGACCCATCCCCCTCCCTCAAAAGTTAGTAATGATAAGAATCAAATTCCCTGAGGTCCTCAGAATTCCCTGCTAAGCCTAGGAAAGGTGGCGTCCCCATGCCATACCAGCAGTGTCTACATCACGTGGGAAATGATTAGAAATGAAATTTTATGGCCTCACCTCAGACCTGCTGAGTCACAAACTCTTAAGTGGAGTACAGTAATCTATACTTTAGCTACTCCTGCATGAAAGGATGCTCCAACGTCAACTTTGAAAACCCCTGCTCTTAAAGCGTCTTGTCCCTAAGTCTAGCCAAATGGAACTACTCTCAAAGGTGTAGCACTGAGGAGGATAAGTACCAGGTTCAAAACAATAAGGTC